TGTGTGTGTGTGTGTGTGTGTGTGTGTGTGTGTGTGTGTGTGTGTGTGTACAGGTGCTACAGGATGGTTGTGGCGGTCAGAGGACAACTTCCTGGAGTCAGTTTCCCCTTTCACCAGGTCTGTTCCAGGAACTGAACTCACTGTCAGGCTCTGAGGCAAGCAAGACCTTTTTACCTATGGACCCTCCTGTTGGCCCCTATATGTAGCCCAGGCTGGCCTTGAACTCACTACTGCAGTGGATGATGACCTTGAACTCTAGATGCACCTGCCTCCACCTCTTCAGTGCTGGAATTACAGACCTGTGTCACCATGCCTGTCGAAACACAAGTTTATAATGTCTTTTAACAAAATAGCCTATAACCAGGTGGTGGTGCACGCCTTTAATCCCAGCACTCGGGAGGCAGAGGCAGGCGGATCTCTGTGAGTTCGAGGCCAGCCTGGGTTGCAGTGAGTTCCAGGACAGCCAGGGATACACAGAGAAACCTCATCTTGAAAAACAAAAACAAAAAAATAAATAAATAAACAACAAACTAACAAAAAAAGGGAGGGAGGGAGGGATGAAAGAAAAGGAAGGGAGGGAGGGAAGAAAAGGAAGGGCTAGCCTGTGAGATGGCTCCGTGGGTAAAGTCTCTTGCTGCCAAGCCTGGCACCCTGAGTTCCACGACCCACAAGGGAGAAGGAGAGGGCTGACTCCTCCAAGCTGTGCTCTGACGCCCACAGGTGCCTGCACACCCACCAGCGAACACACACGCTGTACTGGCTACTGTTTCTGCCGCTGCGAGAAAACGCTACGACCAAGACAACACAAGGAAGGAGGGTTGGCTTGGGCTCAGGGCAGAGGGGAAGAGTCTGTCATGACATGGGAATGTGGCAGCAAGCAGCGGAAATGGCAGCCGGAGCGGAAGCTGAGGGCTCACCATTGGAACCACAAGCCAAGGGCAGAGAGAGAGCGCTAACTGGGAATGGCTCAGGCTCTTGAGCTCACAGCCCACCCCCAGGGAAACACCTCTTCCAGCAAGGCTGCGTTACACCTCCTGAACCGACCGGAACAGTTCACACAACCTGGGACTAAGCATTCAGACGTCGGGTCCTATGGGGGACATTCTCATTCAAACCGTGCCCCCGCCCCAGTTTTAGAGATTAGCCTGCCACAGGACTGGAAAGATGGCTCAGTGGTTAAGAGCACTGGCTGCTCTCTCAGAGGACCCAGGCTCAACACCCAACACCCACCTAGGACTCACAACCATCGGTAACTCCAGTTCCAGGACATCCAACGCCCCCTTCTGGCCTCTGTGGGCATTGCATGCACGTGGTGCCCAGACATGCATGCACTCATAAACATAAAACACAAACAGATGAATTATAATATATAAATATACCAGGAGGAACAATCCATGCTAAATTCTCTGCCCATGCCCTGCATTCTTCTCTTTAGGACAAATTCTTAGACGTGGGAGTGCGGGGTCAAAGGTCTACATGTCTAAAGTGCTTATTTTAATTGTGGCTCTAGAACTAGAACAGGATTCACTCTGAGCCAATGCTCACCCACCCAGCAGGGAGGGTGTGACAGGGATGAGCAGCGGCAGAGAGAGAGAAAATAGTGTTGACATTTCCAGGGTCCTTACATCTGAAAACGGTTCGCTCTGGGAATCAACTGTGTACCTCCTAGACACGCACAGCCAGGGAGGGAGCGGGCGGCTGTCTGGCTCCTCTCCGCCTGGCATTTGCTTTCAAATTCTCAATGCAGGCACACACCCAAAGGTCCCCATCTCTCTGCGTCTTCTTGTCTCTCTCCTGGTTTCTGTGTCTGTCCTCGGGGACAGATGGTCTCTCTTGCTCCTCTCTCTTTCTTTTTTGGTGATGGGAAGAGAGAGGGATAACTAAGCAAATTAAACAAGTCTCCTGGGGTGGAGAATCAAGGACCAGTAGGTGTGATGGCTCCTGCCTGTCACCCCTGAGCTCAAGATGTCGAGGCAGGAGGATTGCTTCAAGGTCAAAGCGAATCTGGTCTACATAGTTTTCCAGCCATGTTCACATGGTGAGACCCTGTCTCAGACAGTGAGAGAAGCAGGGGAGAGAGGAGAGAGGAGAGAGGAGAGAGGAGAGAGGAGAGAGGAGAGAGGAGAGAGGAGAGAGAGAGAGAGAGAGAGAGAGAGAGAGAGAGAGAGAAGAGAGAAGAGAGAAGAGAGAAGAGAGAAGAGAGAAGAGAGAGAGAGCAG